AAATCAAGTCAGTTGCACATTATCTTAATTCCACAATGTTCGAAGCAGTGTCTCCCCATAGTAAAACAGATGCACATCAATTTTAACTATAGCATAGCTGAAAGACAAGTCCACAGATGACCAGTCGATGAAGTAAGCCACATGCATAAACACTCATCCCACACATGATGTTCAACATAACTCTTAGGAATGTTTGTTCATGGTACATGATCTGCTGTCATACAGAAGCTTTTGCAAGTCTTAGCTTCACTGAGACTAGGGCAAGTTATTCAAGAGCCTTTGCTTTTGCAGTTCCTTACTGTGTTATCCAATACTTGGCAAGTGAAGGAGACTCAGGGCTACATGAACATCAACCATCCAAAAAATCCCAGAGGATTCTGTTGCCTTTCCACACATCCACCTTAAAAAAAAACCCTGGAAAAAAATTGCTAACAGTGGGCTATAAAGCTGCAATTGGGCATAGCTATTTCTTTGCATGGACACAGGATACATGTCAAATTACTGTTTTGTAGTCCACTACTAAATATTTAGGTTATCTTACAAAGTGGGAGATAGGAAGCGTCCTTTGCAACAGTATTCTTAGGGTCTGGGGGCTCTTCATATTGCCCTGGGCTGCCCTCATTTTTCCAAATGTGGATTTCACAAAGGCATAAGAGTCCTCCAACCCCTCCCCCCGCAAACCCATAAAAACTTTGGAGACACCCTCCAATTTCTTTCCCTTTCTAAGCAGGAGCCTCAGAGTTTTGGACAGTTCTAGGAAGTCCCAACTGTCCCTTTGGTTGTGCACTTTATTCTGAGTGGGTAGCACCTTGGGGAAATAGCAAAATCTGAGGGAAACTGCAGTGGCGAGGCATGAAGTTTGATTTAAAGGGGCAAGGCTGACTCATCCAAGTTTTGAAATGCTTCCTGCTGCTGCCAGCAGGGAAGGGGGACACCTTTCCCAGCTGTTTCCAAGTATTACACTTTGGGATGCCTGGGAAAATTGATGGCCTGCTACCCCTTGGCTAGAGCAGACCTTTTGATGCTTTTATCAAAGCCCTCTGGTTTTTTGATTTGACCATGGCTTATTTTGTTGCTTGGGATCAGATAACACCATAAGCCACAGTGGGCTTATTAAACCCTACTAAAAGCCATGGCTAGTTGGGGTTCTTTATAAATCACCACAGTGTGGCTGATAAAGCACTCTGGAGAAAGAGTCCCGAGTTCAGACAACATATTAAATGACAATAGCTTATCAACCACCATGGCATCACATGTTGTGTAAACCCTGGGGATCCTGCCTGAAAGAGTGTGTGAGGGGACAGAGCAGAGAACTGGAGGTTTTTCTCTCCACAACTCCTTTTTACAGGTTCTTGGGGATGTCTTTTAATGGAAGGTGGCTTGTGCTTCTATATAATGCATTCTTGGGAAAGTTAGGGCAGCCCAACTCCCCAACAGCACCCTCAAAATCTTGATTCTGCTGCAGTGAGTGTCTTCCACATACTCCCTTTAAAATAGTTTTAAAAGTAGGCCACAAAGTTGCTATTTGCACGTACACCATGTCCATGTGGACATGTGTCCTTGCTGAAAAGCAGTTTTATAGACACGGTTAAGTTTTTCCAGGTTTTCTTTTGTTTGGAAGTGTTTGAAAAGCACCCTTTGCAACAAAATCTTCTGATTTTGGGGGGGGGGGGGCATTCATGTGACCCTGGGCTGCCCTCATTTCTGCAAATGTGCATAACACAGAGGCACTTTTTAAACAATCAAGCCATAGCTAGAGCTAAAAACTATATCATCATCATCTACTGTTCCGTAACCAAGTTGGGTTGTCATGAGTTCAGGAAACAGCCTGTAGATGTCCCTTAGGATACTGCACAAGGACTAGGGGAGGGGGAAGGGAGAGGCAGGGGCACAAAATCCTTATCATTTGTCAGGCACAGAAGATGTTTAAGCACGAAGCTTGTTTAAAATTCCAAGAGGTTTAACATACTGTGTGAACCCAGACTAGTTATTATCAGCTGCCAAAAAGCACACTGTGACTTTATACAGACTTCTCACCTATACATTATGTCCACCTGTTTTAATTCTCCACATTAACCAAAGTATGGCACAAGGAAACATATTTCTGTTCCTGATGGAAGACAGGGTTTTCACACATCTGTGAATGTTTTTAATGTATATGATTTCTTAAAACTGTTCAACGGTTCTTGCTTCAGACCAAATTCTTAGAGTTACACCTCAAAGAACTGTAGGAAATAGTTTTCTCTTTCACCTCCAAGGTACCAGTAGAATATATTATGTACAGATACACTTCAGCAATTTCACTGGTACTCTGGCAAGGCTGTGCACTACAGGGCAATTGCATGTACTTATTATATATATATGACCTTGGACTGGGCCTCCACAGAAAAGCTTTGGGAAGTTTTGAAATGACATTTATTTTGATACAAGGCAATCATGTTGAGAACTTTTCCTCTATATACCTTTGTATTCATATAATCCCTGAACACAAGCCTTTAGAATGAAGTTAACCCAGTGTAAAAGTGTTCTTGGTCAGTCGTGTGGGGAGTTCACTCTGTTTCGGATGGGTTCTACTCCTCTTGAAAAATTAAGTTTACAGTTGCTGCCAGCCTGTTTCCAGTCACAATTATAGATGTTGGATATTATCTTTAAAATATTAAATGGCTTGGAGCCAAGATATCTAAGCAGCAGTTTTATACCCCCTTTTGATCCTTTCCATATACTCAAGTCATCCAGGAAGGCCCATGACCTACTCAGTAATGGTTGATGAGAACAACGACTGTTCCATCTAGCCCAGTTTCATCTACTCTCTCTGGTCTTAATTAGAGCTTGCTCCCATGCTGGAGATGCCAGAATTTGAATAGAAGAAACTCTGCATGCAAACCATGCACTCTGCCACAGAGCTATTGCTCCTCCCCATGCAGATTCAAGTTCTTTGGAATGTACTCCTGCACTGCATCTATAAAGCAGTCCAATGCATGAAGCAATCCTTCCGTGCATTTCTTTTTCTGAAAGTTGACACAATTCAAGCTGTGCCTTAGACTGAAATCTTTACTAAGTATCACTTAAGGAAGTACAAGTCAAGCTCAAAAAATTAATATATATTTATGCATAAACAGCTGTGAGTGAACATAAAGCTCCTTTTGTGTGCTAGGAGAGATTAACATCTGCTTTGCACAGTGTAATCTTGCTGAGAAAACACAATTTTTCTTTTACCCTATCACAAAAAGCCAATCACTAGTAATAGCTTGTCCAAGCCAAGTACAAGATTCTACTGATTTTCAGTGTGTTACAGAATTCCAATTCTCATGTGAGAGACTGTTTTATAGTCAAGCATGTTACTGCAGTTTCATTCACCTTAGTTAAAATACTAAGCTAATAACTGGGACACATCAACCACAACTTTTTCTGCCATCATCACTGGGAATGATGAAGTGGCAATCCCGCAGTTGAAAACTAGATATTTTAACCTTTGAAATATTTTACAGTCATTACTTTAAGATGAAAAGATGGACAGAAATGCTAACCATTTATTCCTGCCACTATCTCTAGCTGTACATTTTTGCAATATTGTTAAGAGAAACCATCCTTGCTAACGATGTCTGACAGAAGTAATTAATCTGAAAAGTGTTACTGTGGTGTAAACGTGTATAAAAAATAAAGAATGTAAATAGATTTGTAATGCAAAATTGTACCTCAGTTAATGGATCTAAAAGGGTAACTGCATTTTTAATTTTCAGAAATGGCATCCTAACCTTTTATTATCCTCTCTACCTGACATAAGCAGTTGCAAGCCAGCTATCTAATGCCTCAATTACTTCCTTTGATTTAGTAGTTTGTTACCTTAAAAAGCAATGCCATAAATCAGCAGTTATAAAAATGTTAATATTAGAGATATGCCAAACAGAAATATAACGTTGAAGGAACACTGGGTTTCCACTTTAGAATTACGGAGCTTTCATACTTTGGTTTGTCAGGCTTTTGTCAAAATCTAATAGAACATAGATTTGGCTGCCCATCCAAGTTCTGTGATCAATCTTCACAATCTAAGGTAACTGCATTGATTTGAGCTTTATTTAGAATAACATTAATTTGAAGGAAACAGAACTCAGGGCGGATGCATGTGTGCCTCCTACTGTTTTGTGCAATGGTGTCATTTCACTAGAACAAATTCCATTTTCAATCTTGCACAATTGTCAGATCCAGTATATTGATTCTACTTCCATGTGGCATTGCACTAGGCTTGTGTTAGTCATTCTGTAGCAGTTGTACAACTGCTAGTGAAATGACACCAGCTCTTGTAATTTTTCCTCTAGTTTAATGTCAGATATAACATAATGACACAGCATTTTGAAAAGTGGAGTTTGTTCAACAATTTGTATTGCTGTTTTATTTATTAGTGAAACAGTCCCTAGAATAAGCCCATCACCAGCTCAATGCCACTTTGTATTAGTAAAGGTCAGCTACAGTATAATGCAAATGTAGGATACAACCTGTCTGTATATCTAAATTCTTCCTATAGTTTAAAATAATGTTAATTTATTTTAAGCTAGTAATAGCATTTAGATATATAAAGTCAAGCTTTTAAGAAGTGTAGTCAAGACAAAGACAAACATTTATGACTCCAACTGTTTGTACATTTTATATAATTTGGTTCTGTAGACTTGTAGAAGTAATTTGTTGCAAACAAGTTAAAGTGGTCTACATTGTGCAACCATCTTACCAGAAACAATCTTAATTCATTTACTTGTGACCTCTATTTCAGGTTAGTTTCTTCTCAGACATGTACACAACATGAGTTGTTCTGGGAAAGTTTAATCCACTAAACTATGTTTCAGTTGTTTTTCCACAATCCTTTTAAGTGACATTTTACGTAACAGTTTTACAGAATGAGGCACTGAAAAGGGCTAGGTAGAGCTGGACTACCTTAGAACATTTGTTATCCACACAGTATAACACATCTCTTGTCAAAAAATTATCATTTGATAGAGATACAGTACCTTGGATGTCAGATCTCGATGGAATATGCCTTTATAGTGCAGATAACTGAGTCCCAGGGCAATGTCCAGTGCCAGCTTTACTCTTACTGTCCAGGACAGGTGCTGATTACCATCTAGCAACTGTTCCAAGTTACCACAATTGATGTACTAAAAAAAAAAGGACAACTTAAAAATTAAGTTACAGTTAAGCATGAAATACAAAAAGAACCAAGAATCCTGTTGAGGAGAGCTGCTGGACTTAGAAATCAGATTTAATTTAGTGGGTATCTCATCCTGGGCCTTGTAAAACTAAAAACACAAGAACAAAATAAAGAACACCACAATTTTTGACTGTCTATCACAGAGTAAGGACAGTAAATATAGAAACAGAGCATAGCAACTTTGATTTTCAAAATGTTCATTTTCTTAAAATAGTAAGAGAGAGAATGTATTTATTTGTTAGATTTATATCCCACCTTTTTCTTTTTTAAAAGAACTGATTCTCTTCCTCCTGCTCTAATTATTATCCTCACAACAACAACCCTTTGTATTAGATTGGGATGAGAGACTGTGACTGGCCCAAAGTCATTCAGTTAGCTCCATGGCTAAGTGGAGGCTAGAACCCAGATTGCCGGAGTCCCAGATCTGCACTCTTAACAACTATACTACACTGGCTCTCAGTTGTATATGTAATAGGTTCATGGAACTTTCTCCATAATGGAGACCTTGGGCTTCCCTTACCATGATACTTTTTACCAGCAGGCTATGTGATATGCTTAGTGTGATATACTTAGAGAATGATGCACTTAGGTAATGTATATATCACTTAGGAAGGAACACCACAGATTTTCTAGGTTGCATGGGGGGGAGATGCCCCCCTTCAGTGTGCTCAGAAGTCATGCACTCCAAATAAAGAAACAAAGTTTATTAAAATATCAGATAAGAGAAAGGAAGCACAAACAAAATACAGACTTGCTAGCATATCGCAACTCATACAGTTCTATCAATCCCACCCTGCACACCCCCATGCAGAGTTCTCACACAACAACTGGTTTTTATTTGGAGAGACACCATGGATCCCAAAGATGTCCCTTGCAAAAACTATAATGTTACATTAATTTTCTTTGGCCAAGTGACTATCCAATTAGTTCTCTCAACAGATGTAAAGTATATAAACATGAGACACTAATTGTCACCCAGTTAGAAAGCCAATTAAAGGACCATTGCTTTAACAACTTAAGTCAGAAAAAATACCTCCAAGGAGCTGGTACATCCCAGCAGCAAGTTGCTGCTCTGGCCGACACATATTGACAACTCAGAGGAATGAAATGCCAAGAAACACCCCTGCATCACAAGGGGTGATATAACTAATTCAACATTTCCCTCTCCCCTATATTTCTGCTTTCATTTATGGGGTCTCTATAAGTTGGAGATGACTTGATGGCACATAACAGCAAGTATATTTCTACAATCAGAAGTTTCCATCTAGCTTCCTGGAATCTCAAGATTCATGGACTGCTCAGCCCTACATGGTATATCAAAATATTTTTTCTGAATAAGCCTAGACTTCAGTGTTCTTCTTTCAAGCTTATATGCCATTGAGAATCCAATGGCATATAAGCTTGAAAGACTCACCAGAAAATGTGAGTACATGGTATTCTCTATATTTGTACTTCTCCTGTAACACATTTTCACAAGAGTTTAGATCTAAATGCCATTACACGAATGAGAATATTGCCATATACTGATTTAGATCATCATTTCATTAAACAAAGAATTGTCAACACAGGGAAGGAAATAAACCACTGTACCACTTCTTTCTGCCCCACCCATGCTGGCTGCATGCCACTGAATTATCGTAACTCTTGCTGGTCATTGTTTGTAGTCTCATATGTACAAATCCAGCAGGGCACAGGGGGTGCAATTTACAAACAACTTTCCCATGCTTGTGGAAACCATGGTACTGCAGTGGTCTGTAAACCCACCAGCAACCCCCCCCCCCCAGTTTGGATGACATGACAAACTGCACTCCGTAATGGTAATGCAGCAGCACATAACTAGCACATGCAGGGTAGGAAAATAAGCTTATTTTCCTTATCTTATTGTGCAAACCTGGTTGCTGATTGTCAGTGGCCCTCCAAGGTTTGAGGGAGAAATTTTTGCAGTATTACCTAAAGAAAGTGTGTGGACTGAACCTAGGACCTTCCACATGCAAAGTGTGTGCTGTTTGTATGAGCCAGTGATCAAGCATCTGTGTCATCTAGTAAATTACAAATCAAAGAACCATTATTTTCTAGCTATCTAAAATACTCAAGTATCTGAAGAGGATCAAAACAATGTGTTCTTTGCCTGCATACCAAGATTTTTTAGAAATGAATGTTAGTTCCTCAATATTGTATGCCTGAAAAATTCAAGACCGTTTCACCAAAAAATGAAGTTGTTAACAGTGTGTACCAGGACTACAACAGGCAATGATTTCTATTAGGAACAGATTCATTCTCTGCATTAGGAAGGTAGATTGCTGTTGCAAAGAAACAACTACTTATTTGAGGCAAGTACAAGGATCTGATAAATGAAAACTGCATCACACTTGATGCAGAAAAAAGTTCTCACAATGTCCACTTTGTGTCTTCGTGGTGAATGTCACACTATTTGAAAAGGAACTAAGTTCAAAGTCTAGATGGAACTGATGGCATCCTGTTTGCCTGTTAAACTGAGCTAATTTTATGGAAGGTTGCTAGCCCATAATAATATATTTAACAATTGAACCTGTGAATTGCAAAAAAAGCCAAATAAGTACCATTAGTAGAAACACACAGTTTTGTGTATGAAGGTACTGGCTTTCTAATTTTTTGTTGAACAAAAAAAAAAAAAAAAGATTTGGGAAGGTTAATTATGATTATTTTTGTTTTTTGTTTCTGTGTTCTTTGTACAGCACCTTCAATACCAACAAAGGGTTTATAAAAGATAGGTAGCCCTGACTCAGACAAGGAATTACCTTGTCACCTTGACTGATTTAAACATTAAAGGATGGAAGACGATGTAAAACTTTTCCTGCTCTGGCTGCTATTTATTTTCAAAGGAGAAGATGAAACCAACTCTCATGAGAGAATTTTTCAGCCCTCAAGCTAGTTATGAATAGATTTGAGCATATGCCAGTCCCAGGCATACGTATCAGCATGGAGAGCTCCATATTTTATTTGGAAATGTTTTTACTACGTACATTCAAGTTATGTTTTCTGCAACAAAATAGTACAGATAATGTTACCTAGATGTCTGCACACTTTAGCTCAATAAGCGGTCCCAGACATGTGCAAGAACATCAGTTAAAGAAAACACAAAGGAAAGGGAAAAACAGATGCTCCAAAATTATTTGAAGTGGAGAAAAAGATGGATAACCAAAACTGTGTGTGGGAAGGGAAGAAATGCAATTTCTTTGTAATTTCATACTGGTTTAAGCCAGTAATGAAAATAGTCATGTTCAGAAAAAGGGATAGGGAATGCTAAATCTAAAGTGCTTCAAAGATACATGAACTAGGAATCTGCATGGAAGAAATAATAATACACTTTCTGAATTGTTCCTACTTTAAGAATTGTGTATCATTCCTCATATCTGTATCTGATTATAGGTTTTCATTTTTCTTCAGGACTCACTAAGGCCTAGTGAATGGCATATACAGAGCTTCTTACTATCTTACTTTTACAAATACAGGAGATAACTGAATGTATTTTTCATTTTTAAAATTCTAAGTTCCACAGACAGATTTGTCATTTTTGAAGATTACTGCTTAATTCTGTTATTTTGGCAAGGTTTGCCAATTCATTACCCTGTTTTATATGAAACACTATACTATAGTTTACCACCATCTGTGTGAATCCCTTGTGCCCACCTCTGTCCCATCTGTGTGAATCCCTTGTGCCCACCTCTGTCCCTTTGCACTGCAAAGAGAAGAGCTAGAAGCAACTGCTTGTTTTTAAAGTAGAGTTCCTTGTTATGTCCAAACTGAGGGGAACTCTGGTTCAACTATGGCATGATCAAGCAAACGAAGATCAAACCATGGTTTGAACACTAGAGGTTTTCTTAGTTAGCCATAAAGAGGACTGGATCTCTAATTTAGAAACAGGAACAGGTATTTCCAATCTCCTCATAGCTACACTAGAAAACTAGGGGGGCACAAGCATGAAGCCACTACTCTTGCATATAGCACAGAAATACAGTTAGCTATGTGCAATAAGGGTCATAAAGAGCTTAGCTTTCTCTGTAGATGACGTTAGCACATGAAACACGACCAGTCTCATTCCACACTGGATACTATACAGAACTGGAGGAACTATCAGCCCTAAGAGGAATTTTAACAAACAGTGGGGTTCATTTCTTTTTTACTCTATAAAACTGCAGTTCATTTCAAAAGCCTCATAGCTACCCATGAATCTCAGATGAAAAGTAAATAGATCTCTACTACCTATTACATCATTTTCCTAAAACAAAGTCATTCCAGTAGGAGTACTGGAATATATGCCAGTTTTATCACTGCTCTTTGCAGCTTCAAATATATAGAATCTCAACATCAGACACAACTTTAACTAATTTTGTCCTAAGAGGGCCTTACTAAAGCTAATATTATAATACAAATATTGGTTTAAAATTGGTTCTAAGAGTTCATTTTGTACAAAATTGTGTAATACTTGAAAAATTAATCCAATTCATTTCAAAGCAGGATTAAGGACTTTGAAGCTCTGCCTAATTATATTTTTGGAATGCATTTCAAAGCAAAGAGACAGTTTTGCAAATCAACTATAACCATATGCCCTCTTCTATTATGCACAAAAAATGGCTTTGCATAACTTTTTCCAACTGGAACAAGGACTGACTACAACAGCAATAGCAACTCAGGACTCAAGGCTGGGAATATAAGAACTCACATTTACATTCCAGTAACATTCATGCTTGCTGTTGAAGAGCAAGAGGTTATGGAGAGAAGAGGTTCCTGGAAGTGTTGTTTTCTTAGCCAAGTATTTTGTTGCCTTCTTCTACAATACTTGGTGGAATCTACTTTAAGAAGCATTACAGATTCATTCATGATAATTTAAAATTGTTGTATCTGTATGCTGTGAGCCAGATGCTGTTACCTCCTGGAGTGTTTGCAAAGGCGTGGCACACTCCTGTAAAAATTAGGTCATGAGGATTTTTTTTTTTTTACTTAGGATTTAAAGAAATTAATAGACTAGAACAAAAAGATAGAAAGCAAAGCTTCAGGAATTCCAATTATTTCTGTCTTCATCTGCTCAAGCCCTTCTTCTAGCATAGAAGTAGCACAAGAAAATTATCTTTGGCTCTGCAATAAAGCTAGCTCGCTCACTCACACACAGACACATCTTTAAAACCACAACAGAATGTATGCCACAGCTTAGAAAAGGTAGCACCAAGTCCAAGAGGTCAGCAGCATGGTTAACTATAGCAAGGTCAAAGGAGCTATTATAGAAAAGAATAAGAGAACAAATAAGAGAAACAAATAAGAGAAACACAAATAAGAGAAACAAAAGGGAACATAAGTTTTCACAAAGGAAATACAAACAGATGATATGAGATACAAAAAAGCATTTTAAGAAACCTATTGCTAACATGCCCAAGGCCAACAATAATTCTTTAACTATATCAGAAGCAGGAACCAGTTAGGGAGGCAGGTGGGCTGTTAAATGATAATAGATATAAAGGATTATGAAAGGATAGCATGATTAAGTATTTTCATCTGTGCTGCAGAGATATAGGACAGTTACCTGTGCTTGACCTACTTCGAAGAAAGGAGTCTGAGGAAATGAGACAAATAGCAGTGACAAAATCCTTGACCTTATTGACAAATTTTAAGTTAATAAATCACCAAGTCCAGATTATCTCCATCCAAGGGTTCTTAAGGAATTCAAGTAAGAAGAGGTTGATCTCCTATGAAAAATATGTAACATGCCCCTAAAAACAGCCTCTGTAACAGGAATGAAGATTGGCCAATGGAACACCAATTTTTTAAAGTGGGATCAAGGGAGGATCTAGGAAATTGCATGTCACATTTGCTTAACCAACTGAAGTATGTCAGTAAACATGTGAACATGTGCTCCAGCAAACATTGTCAAAGGTTTTTGACCAAGTGCCTCATTGAGACCTCTGAGCAATCTTCATCATGGAGGAAGAGGGGCACTCCTTTAATGGATCAGTAACAAAGAAGAAAACAAAAAGAAGTGAGAAGAAATAAATTTATTTATTCACATGTACTTACAGGCCACCTGTAATTTCCAAGGCCTTCCTAGCTGGCTAACAATGCATAAATGGTAAATACTTCCAATGGAGGGATGCAAATAGTAAGGTCCCACAGGGGTTTGTTTTGAGACTGATGCTTTGGAAGAAAGAGTAAGCAGTGAAGTAGCAAAGTTTGTTAATAACAGCAAATTATTTAAGAAGATTGCAAATGGATTGCAAGGAGCTCCAAAAGGATCTCCCAAACAAAGAGAATGGAAAATACACTTCAATGTAAGCAACACTAAAGTGATGCACACTGGGGCAAAAAACTCGATTTGAAATATAGGCTGATAAGATATAATGTAACAGTGACTGATCAGGAAAGAGTTCTTGGAATGTGGTGGACAGCTCAAGAACAGTGTCAATCCAGTGTGCAGGTACTGTGAAAAAACAAACTCCATAGGAAGCATAATTATGAAAATAATTGAAAACAGAACATTCAATATCATATTCTCCTTACACAAATCTATGTGGTGGCTGCATTTCGAATAATATGCAGTTCTGATCACTGCACCTAGAAGAGGATATTGCGAAGCTGGAAAAAGCAAAAAAGGACAACAAAAATAATCAGGCAGCTGGAGCCACTCCCATACAACAAAGGCTACAACAGTTGGGATCATTTAGCTCAGAAAAAAGGTAAGCAAAGGGAGCCATAATAAAGGTATATAAAATTATGCATGGTATGGAGAAAGTGGATAGGGACTTTTCCCTAATACTAGAACCCAGGGGCAACCCATGAAATTGGTTGGGCAGAAATTCTGCCCAACCAACCGATAAAAAGAAGTATTTCTTTGTATAACTCACAGTTAAACTGACACAAGGTGTAGTGGTTACCAGTTTGCGTGGCTTTAAAAGGAGAATGGATGAATTCATGAAGGATAAAGGTATTAATGGCTGCTAGTCTGGATGACTTTATGTTGCATCTAGTCAGAACTTTGTACACCAGTTCCTGGCCAATATGGGCTGGAGGGTACTGCTTATGGCTTTCCTGTGAACAGCTGGGTAGCCATTGTGTGCACACAATGCTGGACTGGATGGACCCATGATCTGATCCTTATGTTCTTATAGCCATGAAGCAAACGCTTCAGAAAAAGCAAGCACATTCCAAATTCTTTAGGCAATCAGAACCAGGTTAATATCTTTTATTGTAGCTATTTGGAGCAAGAAATGAAGGACTCAAGTTATAAATCTATAATCTGCATTTTTATCCATATGCAACAACATGTAACTCAATTGAAGAAGCAGTTTTATCACAGCAATAGGTATAGAGTTAGGGCTGGACTGGCTTACAAGTGACTGATCTCATAATTTAATTAACTCCAGAGCAACCCTCCTATGTATGGCATTATGTAGAGAAACCTGTGTGTGTGTGTGTGTGTGTGTGTGTGTGTGTGTGTGTTGGATTGTACATACACCAACTTAGAGGTGATCATATTTTTCACAGAAAATGTATCTGCCTACCATCCATTTCACAATGTGAGTCATGTGATGCAAGTCTACACTCATTATATTTATATCCTGCCTTTTTTCCTTCCAAGGTACTCAAGGCAGCGTATATAATTCTCCTCCTCCTCTCTATCTTACATCACAACAAAAACCCTGTGAGGTAGATTGGCTGTGAGTTTGTGACTGGCCCAAAGTCACCCAGTGAGCTCCATAGCTGAGTGGGCACTAGCATCCAGATCTCCTGAGTCCCAGTCCCACACTCTTACACTACAGCACACTGGCTCTCACACTGATCCCATTTGGGTGGGATCCCCTGAAGAAAAATGTACAGTTAAACATGCACACATGTATGCCAGTCCTGGATGAACTGAAAAAGCGAAGTAGACAAAACTTTGGATGCATGTTATTTTACATTTTGTGTGAGCTTATAAAATTCTTACAAGATTATTTTTATCATGGCAATTCTATATGCAGCAGCTGTCTAATCCTTCATGCAGCATACAGGAAAGGGGCAAGTCAATATCAAACAGGATATTAATGTTAGTGTTGTTACGCACTGCCAAATCAGCTCCAATTCATGGAGATCCCATGAATGAAAGCCCTCCTGTCCATGACAGCCCCACTCACCTCTAAGTTCATGGCTGTAGCTTCCTTTATGGGTTCAATCCATCTCATTTGGTTTTCCTAACATTTATCTTTATTAGTTCATGAGAAGTACCTAGATAAGGGAGATTTGGAGATCACAGCATATATACTGCCAATACTAAAAACAAGACAAAGCCATATTACTCGTATAACTGCCAAACATATCATAATTGTCAAAGGCATGCAAGCTTTCAGGAAAGTCACAATTCTAAATGTTAAGTTGGATTCATAAGTGGCACTGAAGCCTTGTGGTTGATCTGCTCATAAACAATGTTGTACAGTGACTGCCAGAGCTGGGCAGTAAAGGGAATGACAGTCAAGTTCCCAAAGCCAGCTTACCTAAATGGTTTCCCTTGATAAGAAATACTAGAACCACAGTTACACAGGCTCAGCAATGACAACTGAATAAGAGCCAGAGCTCAGCATCAGTACCAATGACAATAAACTAAGATTTCTTAGGAATGAAACTAATATACATGCCATCAATGAGAATCAGTGTTATCCAAATTTCTGTAAAGCCTAACTTCTCAAATTTAAGGAACCTAGATTGATATTGGAAATACCTGCACTAAGATGCTGCTGTGGAAGAACATGCACTACTCTGGTAAAAGGTAGATTGAAGCTCAAATTGCAAGAGGAAAATTAGTGTTGTTCACAATTATACTGAAAGCAGATAAATCCATTCTATTTGCGATCAAGACAGAGACTCTGAATACACACTTCAATTCAGATGTACTATCAAACAGATTTGTAGAACCTGGAGCTTCCCTGCCCCCTCCCCTTTTCTTTTCCACTCTTGTTGTTTCTTATTATAGTTTGCCTTTACATTTGAACTGGAAAAAAATACTAAACTGCAAAGCATGATCTGTGGATCCATTTCAAACCATGTTTTTCAATTCTGGCTGTAATACAAAGTATAACCTTAATAATTAACCTTATTTGCCATTTCTGATATTATAGAGAACTATAGGAAAGTCAGGAAATGAAAGGTAGTGTGCAGAGGCACCCCCGATTATCAAATTACAGTTTAGCACTGCATCTGAATTAAGGTACTTGGGACAGTGGTGGTGGTAATAGTGATTACACTGCATTATTACATTGCATTTATAGCCTGCTTTTTTTCCTTTTGTGAGAACCCAAGTTAGCTTACATTTATTTAATTTATATCCTGCTTTAAAAACAGAACTCAAAGCAGCTTACATAATTCTCTTCCTTCTGCTCTCAATCCTATCCCCACAACAACTTTGTAAGTATGTTGGGCTGAGAGTCTGGCTTAAGGTTGGCTCCATGGCTAAGTGAGCCAACCTTAAGCCAGAACCTTCACTGCCCGAGTCCCAGTCCTACACCACACTGGCTCTCATACATAACTCCATTTTATCCTCAAAGCAACCACACTGTGAGGTAGGTTAAGTTAAGAGTGACTGACTGATCCAAAGTCACTCTGAGCTCATGGCCAAATGGGTACCAGAACCTGGATTTTGCAGTTTCTCAGTCCAGCACTCTAATCACTATACCACACCGGAACTCCAAAGATTAGATGAGATACTAGGTCCTTTTCACATGTTTCCCTAACCCTTTGTATCAATTCTCCTACAAACTCACACTGTAGTCTGAACAGTACTGAAGTAACATCCTGCCATCTTTTAAAAAGGAGAGCAGAGAGGACTGTAGCACAGTTATTTATCTCTACAAAAATGGCACACCTTTCATTAAGTATGAAATGAATATTGCTCTTTTGCCTTTGAACTGACTGTTGGAAGACTAGTCCACAGAGACTGAAATGTAAATGATAAACTTTGAAGTAATTGCCTGGCTACTTTTCAGCATGTGGGGCAGAAGAGAAACTGCTTATGAATTCTATGATGCTCTATTCCTGGCAAGAGCCCCAAGAATGCCGGACATGTTCACTGGAAGCTTGGATTCAGGGCTGCAATAAATTAGAGTCTGGGGAGCTGAGCCCAGAACATCCATCAGACTCCCAGTCATAATATGGATTTCTCCACATGCCTAGCCTGAATAGGACAGATGAAATGTTGCTATTCCTTGAAATTGGTATTTTGGCCTATTACTTCCATGAAATGTTCTCTTTTGCTTACACAAAACTGTAATAAAGTAGAAATAGTATAAAGGAAATATCCAGTAATGGCAATCAGCCAGCTGTAAACATATCCATTAGTAGCAATGACCATTCATGGAATGTGAAAGTAGTGCCTGCTAATACAACCCAAGGAACCACCTGAAACTACTACTTCTGCAATGAGACAAATCAGCAGAGCTCACTTCTGTTATCTCAGCTGCTTCGTCCCATTATGGAAGCAACACTTTTGGATAGCTTCCAATTGCACTATCAAATGCTACTTTCCTGTTGTTGTACTGGAAATTCCTCCAAACATAGTAGCAGTATCAGATGTTGCCCTATATTTTACTATATAAAGCTTTAGTGTAACATTTTACAGTTTTAAAGTGTCCTTTTTGTGGTTTTGCCCTAATTCAAAACCATTTGCAGTGCTGTGTCATGGTTTCCTAAAAAAAAACCTCGATAGTCAGCTCAGAAGCCTTTTATTAGAGCCCTCAGATCTTCTAGAAACAAATACAGGCTTTTTTTCTGCATAGTGCAAAGCTTTTGATTTAGTAGTCCCAGGATATACTGATAAGCAAATTAGCAAAAACTGGACTAGATGGAAAAATGATTAGTTGAATCCAAAACTGGCTGCTAAATTGGACATGAGGAGTGCTCACCAATGGCACCTTCCCAAACTGGAGGAAGGTAACCAGCAGAGTGTCACAGGGTTCAGTCACAGTATAAGCATGGGTCCTCAAACTAAGGCCCGTGGGCCGTATCCGGCCTGCCATGACCTTTAACTGGCCCACCCCACAGGTTTTGCACTCATTGGGCAGGCACCACCCAACTGGAACCACCTTGGCAGCCCACGGCCACCGCTGGCACCTGTCAACTGGCCCCCTGTTCAAAAAGTTTGAGGACCCCTGGTATAAGGAATACTATGTCCAGTTCTAAATATCAAGAAAGATGCAGAAAAATCATCAGGGGTCCAAAGGAAGGCAACAAAAACGATCCAGGTTTTGGAAACACTGCACTATCAGGAGAGACTGAGAAAACTGGGCATGTACAGGCTTGAGAAGCCTTATATCGCTTTTCTCACTTGTATCAGAGTGTAGGTCACAGAATAATCAATTCAAGTTGCATCAACCCAGATTTTTCTTTTTGATTTCCCTTCCTCCTGCATACAACAGAAAGTACTCTCTACATCAATTTTTAGGGTAGCATAGTTCCCACGTCTGTTTGGAATCATGTCAGAGGAAGGAAGATCCTGCAGATTCTCTGCCACCCTGACATGCTCTTGATAAAGTCCCAAACCGCTCCATTTTCAGCCCCACTCCCAAGAAAGTACTCCATGAAAGGTCCAGCACTACCCTGGAAAGAATCCAGACAAATCTCATTCTCCTCAAATGGAAGAGTAGGTGCACAACACACAAAAGGCTCTAGAACTTTTTTCCAGAGACCATAAAACTGAAACTTAAGATTTCAATGAATCAGTTTGGAGAAACTGAGAAATATTTCAATAGTGTATTTGTAAAATAAACAGCTGTGAATTAGTATTTGTTTAAATGAGCATTCATGCATGGGGACTCATGCTTGTTATATACTGTCAAGACAGTTTTGTCTATGTATAAACATACAGCAGGAAAAAAGTTTCAGATATAAAGTAAGAAAATATCTTCCATTTGTGCAGATTGAGTGCCAAACTCAGTTCAAGTTTCTCAGAGGTCTTGGCAGTTACTAAAATTAACTGCATTAAATATGCAGTAAGATCTCAAGAAGCCTCACTACTGAATATTTTGATCACTTAAGAACTTCCAAGCCAAAAATGATTTAATGTCAAAGTGTGCACCTGCTGTTAACATAGCTTTCCTATATAATAAATGTTTCCATAAAAAAACAAAATTTGATGTTGTTCACTTTCACCAATCCTATACACAGTTCTAGCCTGATTTCAGTGCTGACAGAGCAATATTTCACCTTTACACAATGGATCACCTCCAAAAGAATGGTTAATTATACTGGGAAAAAATTGAGTCAGACCTTACACTTTCACTAGAGTAACTGCCACCATGCTGCTGGAAAAATTTCAAATCAGATACCCATTTCTGTGTAATGAACACCTTCTGTTGCTACTGGTCTTATTTATTATATTTATCTGCTAACCCTTTTCCCTCCAAGGAACTCAAGGAGGTTTTCATAATCCTCTTTCTCCTCTCAGTTTTATTCCACAACAACCTTATGAGCTAGGTTAGGCTGAAGGTCTCTGACTGGCCCAAAGCCACTCAGTTAACTCCATGGATGAGTGGGGACTAGAACCCAGATCTCCTGAGTCATAGTTCGACACCATACTGGCTCTCAGTGCTGCTGCTGCTGCTGCTCCTCTTCCTCCAAGGTAGGGAAAAGTCTATCTTCTCAACACAGGGCTTTGGCCACCTGCCTTGAAACTAGAGCAAGAATACATGTGGTCTGCAGTTGGAGAGAAAAGTCTCCTTCATTACACCATTCTATCCTCTTATCGATAGCAGTTGTGCCAGCACTTAACTGCACAGCAGCAAACTACATAACCACTAAATGAAGTTTTACTTATTAAAGCACTAAAAAACAATTAAAACCCAGCAGGCGTGATATAGAGTTGTGCCAATCATTAATGTCATTAGTGACTATTATGCCAATCCGTAAGAGTCAATGGATGCCAATGAAATCCATGCAACTATGTTCTACATGGCAGCCATGGTGGCTGCAGTTATGCTAGCTAAAGTTTCATTTCAAATACAAATTGTAAATATTTATTATGGAAGCAGAATACTACTCATGCACCCCATGCTCTGATTTTGTCCGAGATATAAAATATGTTTAGAGGCAACTTAGAAAAGTAGAAAAAGCTTATATACTATAAACATAATTCAAGTAAAATTGTGCAAAAGTTTGCAACTCCAGGGTCTTTTTCGAGTATGAAAAAGATCCAGAACAGCAATTTTGAACATGTTTCACGTGCTTCTGGCATACTTTGTTTACATTCTATGTCTGACATTCCTCTTTTATCTTTTGACAGAAAACAGCTGAAAGATGTGGAAAATACAAGAAAAAGTGCACGCTCTCAAATACCTTGAAGTGCAGCACCTGTAATTCATCATAAATAAGACTGAATAGGAGAATTATTAATCACAGGTGTCCATGCAAAACAATGGCATAAAGGTTACTATAATCACATCTCAGTGCCACTTTGGGCAGGGTGTAGGAACACTCATGGAATCACGTGAGTGTGGCTGCTTCTCTGCAAGAGAGATTTAACCTGATGCTTGCTAGGATTCTACTTCCACTTTCATTGTGTATTTATTCCTTTAGTGTGTGTATTTATCTAGCTTTGTAAATATGTTAGTAATCACAAGGTGTTGATGATATGCTATGGCTGCAGTATAGTGGATCTGTGACTTTCCATGTTGCTTTTGTTCTGATTTCTTGCAATTTGAAATTTAATATCTGATTTTCCTTGCTCTCAAACACTCCACAAAAAGGCTAGAAAAGTTAGGAGGGGCCTGGAAGTTGATGACAGCATTGGGGAAAGGCCCTGCAAACTTCCCCAAGTGAGGGATCACATCTGCACAATGAATGCCTCATGTAGAGAAGCCCCTAATCTTATTACCTATAATTTCCTCTCATGTGCTGCAAGTTTCATTGCTATGAAGAAGGATATATTCCACTCAAAGCAGTGGGGCAAAAAAAAAAAAAAAAAAAGCGGTGGAAATGGCTCATCCACAATGTTACCACTCTTCTGTCTGTTCTGATAAAATATTTAAAGCTGAGCTGTTTCTAAACTAGACATTGCAGCAGCGGATGAGTAAATAAACCAAGATTTGCTTGCTCTGTAGAAAAAGGTGGTAGGTAAGGCATCTGATATTACCAGCGAAGGGCTATGCAGGCAGAAGGTGCTAACACCACCCCACCACCCACCTCGCCTTTGCACAATTTCAGATCAGCTGATGGAAAGGTGCTTTGGAAGAGATATACAACAGGATGGGAAGAGATGTTATTTACCCACATAATTCTTTTGCTATTAAAATCACATTCCTTGGCCTTTCTATGCTATTGGGGAAGC